CCGACTGGAGAAGGTCCCCGTAGCGACAGCTTGCGGACCGCATCGAGGTAGGGAGTTGGTGAGGCCATCGGCATGGCCTCATCGTCGTAGTCGTCGTGGAAGCCATCGTCTGCCCACCGGCGGAACTTGGAGCGGCCCTCCGAGGCATCGTTGGGGTAGAAGGGTGCGGCGTTGGGAGAGAGGGGTGAGCCATGGCCGCTGGAGGCAGAGCAGGCCACCGAATCCTTCGGCGGGCTCGGGATCCGCTGCTGCCCAAATTCACGGGGTGCTGGAAATGAAGCCAACGGCGGGGGCGGGGGTGGCTGTAACACCCCTGGTGTTAGGCTTGCATAATTGCACTTGCATTTCATGAACATGAGCATCATTCATCCATTCATGAGCTTATATCACAAGAAACATGTTATCGAAACATTGCAACATGCTGTATATTTCATGAGTGTTGTTTTTTTTATGAAATGAATAGTGTGCAGCACCCAAGTACAACATGTGCAACTCACTTTAGTGGAACATAGCTAGTTAGTACGATGCAACAAGATCATGAAACATGTGAAACATGACTATGAAACAAAAGTAACATTTCAATTGTTTTTCATTGTTTCAGTACATTCAGTGCTTGATTCTTATGTGACCAATGTGTGGTATGGCTAAATATATTTTTAAACAACTTAGATATACTTAGAAGGTCATTAGGAACAATGTTCATGTTGATCATTTTGCCTAATTAAGTTTTCAAGTCATGGTTTGACTAGTGTTGACCTCTAGAGCTCTTTGGTTTGACTGTTTAAAAAGTATAACTTAGAGTCTATGCATGCCTGAGCAACCTAAAGCAAAGTTCTAGCAAATTTTATAAGGAATAAAAGTTATTTTATGACCAACTCATGAAAATGTGCACAGCATGCTCAAAAAGGTCTCACAAGTCAGGATTTGGGGTTGTATTCAAAACTCTAAAAATTTTCTAAGTCTAAAATGCAATGTCAGTTTGATCGAGCTGACTTTGGCTTGATATAACTCTTGATCCGTTGAGTTTTAGCTGGTGATTTCTGAAGCATTGTTGTAGCCCTATCATAGCTCTACAACTTTCATGTACATTGCTTCCACTAATTCTTCATGGTTGAGGAACTGTGTAGCGTTGAAAAGTGCCTGTCAGTCGGCTCATTGATCGCTGAATCGAAGTTTCAGACTCGCTACAGTGCCGACTGATTTCAGAAAACCACCGCCGTGTGGCGCCACCCGTCGCCGGCCGCCTGACCGCGCAGGCCACGCGCCACGGCCATCCTGGCACTGCCGGCCATTGCTTGAACCCTCCCCCCACGCGCCTGCCCGACCGGCTCACAGTCCGTTTTTCATTTCCTTCACCTTCCACCGTGAGCAGCGCCGCTCCGCCATTGCCGAGCAGCTCCGTCGTCGCCTAGCTCGCTCGACCGCCGCAAAAACGTGACTGCCAGCTCGTCAACAGCTCCGCCATGTCCTCCTCTACATCCTCCACCTCTTAGCTGAGCCGTTTGAGTCTTGGTAAGGGCACATTGGCCGTTTCCACCACCGCCCGCCATGACGGGGTCTCGCCGGAGTTGGAGCTCTACGCGGCCAACTACCACCGAGGCCTTCTCGTCCTCCTCTCTTTGTTTGGGTAGCACCGTAGCGACCCCCTGTAGCTCATACCGAGCTCGGTTGAGGCAGCCATGGCTTGCCGTCGCCGGCATCTCACGCTGGAGCTCTGCCGTGCCGCCATCACTAGCGACGCGCCACCTCCGCTAGGTCTTAGGTCTCGCCGGTAGCACCAATCGAATCACCTCATCACGGAGATCACGGCGGTGCTTTCGGTGTCGCCTGGAGGAGCCACCGTCGGCGAGCTAGACCATCGCCGCACCATCGCGTGCCGTCTCCCCTGTTCTGTGTCGCTGACCAGCGGGCCCGGCTGACACGCGGGTCCCACGCGTCAGTGACAGTGTAGTGATATGATAGTTCAAATTTACAGATTTCTATGATGTTTTGTGAATTTTGTAACTACAAATGTGTAGATCCAAATGGTGTGATTCAAATTTTATTAGACTCACAGGGAAGTCTAGTATTTAAGAAAAATATGACATGAGCACATGATGTAGAAATTTTGGATGAATTAAATAGGAAACTGAAATGTGTTTTTAAATGCATGCAAACTTGTTTAAATCATATCTTGAGTTTCTGTGATCCAAAAATTATGAAATTTTGTGGGTAAGCTAGTCTTGCTTAGTAAAAGCTCTGGTTAAAATTTGAGAGTCATTACATGTATGATTTTTGAGTTATAGATTTTCCTTTTATCATTGATTGATACTTGTGTGAATTTTTGTAAATTATCTAGGAAGCCTATGACCATGAAACTTGGTGGGTAGTATCCTAGTACCTTAAGGATGTTAGGAAAAATATGAAATATCTTGCTTAGCACTTTTAACTAAGGTTTTCTATTTATGCCTTTTTAAGCACTTATGCCTTGTCATTTTTATGTAGGCTATTTTACTTATCCAAATGCCATGAAAATTTTATGGTAGTCTACTTAGAGTAGTACTATGCTACTGTAATTTTATTAGATTTTTATAAGCACCAGAAATATATGTTTCTGTTGTAGCCCTAGTTTAAAATAAAATAAAATAATCCTCTTTAATGCGAGTTTAGTTAATAATGTTCGTTTTGGTGTATCTTTGAAGCATCTTAGTTTGCTGTGGTGGTTTGGCATGTTAGTACAGTGGTTGTCGTAGTAGATAGTAGTACATGTTCTTGATGATGTTGACTACCTTGTAGAAGAGCTTTGCTACTACTATGTCCAATAAAGTTAAACATGTTCATCTACATTTCATGCATCATGATCATTACATGTCATCTCTCCGATGCACCTATGCATTAGCACTTATACATCTGCATCATACAGGATCGCAGAAAGAGTTGCTAATAGCAGTTCAGGAAGAGCAGACCGGGACAGATCCACAAGAAGTCCAGGCACAGGAGGTGCTAGAGGAAGAGGAGCAAGGAGAGGACTTGCCCGAGTGCGTGGATCATCAACCTAGTTCGTTCGAACGAGGCAAGCCCCGGAGCATTATAAGTCTCCTAATTTATAAAAGCAATTCTTTCTATATATATGAGTTTATATATTGTTGCATTAAGTTGTAGGAGTTGATTGAAACCGTTGATGCATTTATTACTATCCTTGCCTACCTTATTACCTTTCCCCTGTTAGGTCAGGATCGAATAACTGCTTAGCCTTGCTTAGACCGGTAGCGATCGGTGATTTCCGGTCACCTACTTTTATAGGTGGTTACTGGAAGAAATTAGTTATAAAAAGAATGATATCCTGGAATGAACCATGTGTGATGAATAATTGGAGATCAGACGAAAAAAAATTGGAGGCAACCAGACAAGATTCTGGGGTGCCGTTAGTTTTCCGTCTACGTCGATTAAGGACCGATCGTTGCTCGTCCCTCTTGTCATGTTGAACGCATGCCTCACATTTAGCTGGCCGAATAAAGTACCTTTCGACCACGAAGGTAGTGACACTTTTCGAGCCGGGATAAACTCGGATTGGCAGACTGGTGCTGAAGGGGGTATGACGGGGACGCGAAGAGTAAGCCCAAGGTGCGCCCCGGCTGTCGGGCGGTCCCTGGGTAGTGCGGTCCATAACTGTTATCCCGTGGCTACTTGGAAAGTCTCATTGGTGATCTGTAGCTCACTTGATCGGTGGGTCTGGTTTGTGTGAGGAATAAATCACCAGCTGGTTAGGAATCGATTCGAATCGCCATCACTCCTGAATAGTGAGCACTTGACTCGAGCTACGGTATCGTAGTAATTATTATAGAACAATGATGGTTATCTGGATGGTATGGACATGCTAAAGCTAAATTGGTAACTGGATGTTATTGGTTAATCAAGTGATTGCTATAGTACAGGTGCTTACCTAGATGAATAGGTTATAATAAAGATGATGCAAAGTATTTAAAATGATGTCTTCATGATAGCTTATGTTTTTCGCAAACAAGTTAGCTAGCCCACTAAAGAAAGTCTTGCATAATCCTTGGTGTCGCTTTATTTTGGTTTAAGACGGGTAAGTCTAGCTGAGTATCTTCTCGTACTCATGGCGTTGTTCCCATTGTTGTTGCAGATGATCAAATGTACTACGGCTATTGCATTAACTGCCTGTACCCGGCGATGGGTGACAACTAGGACCAAGGGCAATGGTCACTCCGTATCTCTCATCTTATGTTTTTGTGGAAGATGACTACCTACTGGCACTGTATCTAAACTAAAAGTGTGTGCGTGACTTTAAAACTATTTGCTTTCGCTGTTTCAGTTTGAACTTGGGTTGTAATAACTTTATGTTCTAAACTCTGATGTATCCACTGTCATTGCGAACTTTATGTAACATGTGACGGTGACTGCTAAACTTGTATGATCTTGGTTTGTATGTCGATTGGTTTGAAATCCTTCGTGGTTTCACGGACTACCGGGTTATACGGGCTTAAGTTTGCTAAATTATCTGCTTCGGCGGAAGATTTTCTTACTTAATATCGTATAATTGGTCGGTTCTGTTACAGTGGCGTAGAGGGGCCATAGCGCTGGGGAGCAGCCCGCGGAGGTGGAGAGGCACCCAACGGCGTGGATGAGGGCCTAGCCGCCGGATTTGGTCGTGGCTGGGCCGTGGGGGCCGGATCCGGCCCCGCCGACGATGGCCTCTCACGTGCCTTCCCCCGCGCACGGCTGGGCAGGGGAGGGGGGTGGCTGAGGGGAGGGGAGGTGACGGGGAGGGGGAGGCAAGTGCCGGGGCCAGGGCGGCCACTGGCGCCGGCGGCGGTGGCGCGGGGGTGGCCGCCAGGGGCGGGCGGGCTAGGGATAGGAAGCGTGGATCAGTGAGGACTACCTGTTAACATATCCTTGTCACGTCATACATTAAGGTTTGGCAGGAGAGTTCCTTCTCCCCACAGATTTAGCATACATACATACATATAAAGAGTTTACAATTGATGTCTAAGCAAGCATTAAACTTTGATGGCATGGTCAGCTTGAGGCAGGCATACTCGCAGCCGCGTCTCTTCAGAGAAGTTGAAGAAAGCGTCGACATCGAATTCTAGCTCAGCCACCGTTGGCTCCTCTGCTTCGGCTGACAGCATATCCTCCATGACCTTGGCGAAGTCGTCGTCGTCTTCTTGGAGCGTAGCCGGTGCTGCGGTTACTGTTTCTTCATCTGCTTCCGCTGTCCGCATGGCGTCTTCAATTTCCTTGTCAAGTTCGTCCCAGCCGTCTTCGTCTTCGTCTTGAAGGGCAGCAGACACCGTTTGTTCCTCTGCTTCGGCTGTCGACATGGCGTCCTCCAAGGCCTTGACCAAGCCGTCGTCCTCGTCGTCTTGAAGCGCAGGCGCAGCAGCAGGGGACTCCGGCAGATGAGGTGCTGCAGCCACTGTTTGCACCTCTGCTTCATCTCTCAGCATGGTGGCTTCAAACGGATCCAGTATCCTCCTCTGCTTCGGCAAGGAGGCGCGTATCACCTGGGGAGCTGGCAACGGCACCTGCTCCTTGCGCTGCGCAAGTGGCCGCGGTGGCGCCGGCATTGGCAAGCGACGCGCCTCCACCGCAGGAGGGATCGGAACTGGCAGCGCCGGAGCCTGAATTGGAGCGGGAGATGGCCGTGTCACCGAGGCAGGCGGCAAACCGCGGCGAGGCGCACACGGCTGTGGTGGAGCGAACGACACCTTCCGAATAGCGGCGAGGTGCGATCGGGTCGGAGCTGGCGGCGCGGGAGGCGGAGCTGAAGCGGGCGATGGTTGTGGCGTCGAACCCCGGCGAGGCGCAGATGGCTGTGGTGGTGCGAAGGGCATCTTCCGAACAGCGGCGAGGGGCGTCCGGGTCGGAGCTGGCAGCGCCGAAGGCTGTGGTGGTGGCAAGGGCACGTTGCCACCTGCCGGACCCCGCATTCTCTTGGGGCACGGTGACATGGCGTCCTGCGGCGGCGCTGGCCTCTTGGCCGCCACCGGCTGCGTGATGACGGCGGGCGCAGCAGGCGGCGGCGTTGCGAACCAAGCATCAGACTCCTTATACGCGTCGGAGTTCGGAGCGGCCTTTGGAGACACGTACACCTTGCAGAGCGCAAACTGCATGCCGCCATCGCCGGCCCCGTCCAGACCGCACGACGAGTACTCCTCCATGAGCCAGTCCGTCAAGACGCCACGCTTCTTGTACCGGAACTTTCTGAGCTCGCCGATCTGGACATCCTGCTTGTCCTTGATCTCCACGGTGCTCTGCCCGGCCCAGGAGCCGGGGCCGGCTGCGCGCACGCCTTTCTTGATGACGGTGAAGAAGAAGCGGTTGTGGGTCCTCGGCATGGGGCGGAACCGGCGGGCGAGGTCGGCGGGGTCGCAGGCGTAGACCTCGGCGTGGTGGATGACGGGGCGCACGACCTCGTGCAGCGCCCCCGGGTCGCCGGAGATGAGGCGGGGCAGGTAGTAGGTGATCGCCTCCTGCGGCGTCGGGTTGAAGCGGAAGCCAAGGCCGTAGATCTCCGGGCCTAGGGCCGGTGGCGCCATCTCCGCCGTGGGATTGTGTTGTGCGGTGACGGTGAGAGAAGGCTGGAAGAGCTGAGGTCGGAGGAGGCGAGGCGAGCGATGTATTTATAGGCGAGACCATGTACGCGGCGGCTGCGGGACAGCCGGAGCCGGATCGGAGGCGGTGCACTGTAGCTGCTGCGTGTCCGACATCCCAATTTGTGAACTCTGATCTGATCGGATTCGCGCGTCTGTACCCGTATCCGACTTTGACTCGAGTTCCCGCGAAATTTCTGAATCTGCGTGGAGGCGTGGAGCCGTACGCGTGATGAAGAGCAAGAAAGTCCTACGTTATTATTTTGTTTTTGGAGTGCGTCTCGAGTAATAATAAGTTAAAATTTTATTAGTTAGTATTAATAATTACTTCTTATGTCACATTTGAGAGCTTGGAATGACACTGATATATAGATCTTGTCCAAATGTAAATTTCATAAAAAAAGCTATATTCTTTCTGTAAATTTATAAATAAATAAATATTACTCCCTTTGTTTTAAACCATAACTTATTTTTGGGTTTTATCCTAAGCCAAATCTTTTTAACTTAAGTCACAATGACTGATAATTTAGAACAGAGGGAGTAATATACTTATAGTGGTATACTACTTTCGATGGTACTTCCCTGAGGCATGACTAGATCCGATAGTTACACGAGATGAAGCGGGTAACCAACGGATACCTGTGCATGTACCATGCCTATAAATGAAAATATTAAGGTGTTCCTTGGTTTGTGTGCTCGAATTTTATAAAAATATCTATAAAAACACATGAAACAGGGACAAATATGCATTCCAAAGATGGACTAATTTTGATTACCGTGATTGTTTTCAAAAAAATTCTGATTTCTGTCCTAAACGAAAATTAATCCAAAAAATGAATGTTGGAACGGTAAAAACTATATGATAACAAAACAAAAATGATTTAGTTTTTTTTATCATTTTATTCAACCACAAATAATTATTGGGATTCCAAGCAAGCAACAACCCATCCTAGCCTAGACTAAGTAGGCAGCCCCAGTCCACAACCATGGCAAAACACGAATCATAGACTGTAGCAAGTTGTTCAACTTATTTCTCACGCGAGAAATTAAAATTGGAGTTTTGTTATTGTTAAGGGTGCGCTTTGCCTGAATGCCATCTCACAAACACAATTTTCTAGAATATTATTATAAAACGAGGCCTTCTTGCTATAATGAATTTTCTCCATTTTCATTTCATCTTTTCATCAAGATGTAACCTAGTGTGACCAATATGCCCCTGGTTGAAATGAAGCCTCTCTCTGCACGTTCTCTCTTTTCCCAATCCTTTTCTTTTGCCCACAAGAATATGCACTGCCACCATTGATGGAGTCGCCCCTAGCCTAAACGGAAGGAGATCGACATTCTCCCTCCACTAGATTTGGTCGGAACAAGTCCTCGAATCGTCCTGCCGTCCTTCACATATGTGATGATGAGATCTCATATGTAATTGTGATCATGATAGGATGGGCAGAGGTGTGACAGGGGGAGGAAGAATTAGAAGAGGGGCAGCGAGGAAGGATGAAAACGGTCGGAAACGGTATTACAATATAGAAAACAGAAGCGGTCGGTTCAGGATATTTCTACATTTTAGCAATTAAAGAGTACCAAAAATGGTTGTGAAACCAATTGAAAATGACAATTTTTTATGTTTGGCGAAATTCGGAAACGGTATCATAATATAGAAAACGGTATCATAATATAGAAAACGAAAGCGGTCAGTTCGGAATATTTCCATACAATATAGAAAACAAAAGCGTGCATAGATGTTAATATTCTTTACTATAAGAGTTGATCAAACTTATTTTGGGGCACAAGTATTTCATTAAGAGGAAAGGGGTGGATAAACTCCTTACAAGGTTCCTTGAATTAGATCATCGGTGGTGCAAGACGCATACTGAAGCTAGCTCAAGGGAACCCGACTTTTAACAAAGTTAGAGATTATACGGCAACAGAATTGCGACGAGCAAAGAAGGGGCAAGGGGGCAAACAAGTTTATCAAACTTACAAAAGTTTGATTGGTGATAACTCTAAAAGTTAATTTGTTTGGAAGACGGAGGGTAGATCACTGAATATATGATCACATGAAGGTAACTATAAATGGTAGCGGAATCAAATTAAGATATATAGTTTAATGGAGTAATATGTAGCATCACTGCACTTCAGGAGAATGTCGAAGTCCATGATGACAATGAATTACCTCATCAGAACTCAGAAGATAGATAAAGGATAAAACAGTGAACCTGAAGAGCAAATTAAGCACCAAAATTATTTGTTTAGAACAATGCCTCGATGCTAGTGCTGTTGACACGTCTTGATCTGTGAGGGGTCATTTGCAGTTCCACTTTCCCTGCAGTGCCACCTTTGCCACTGCTATTGACCTCAACGCCAGTAAAGACAGCAACGACATTTTCATGGATCACTTCATCACCAGCAGAGCCTGCAGCTTCTTGGAAGACCTTGCAATGCAGAACCTGCCAGAACCCAGGCTGACAAACTGAGGATCCTTGCATTCCTTCCATTCATCTGGTGGATCAAGCTCCTTCCAAGGGCCGCCCACTAGCTGTGGCTGGGAATCCATGACGTCGGAGAGGTCAGCAGCAACCAAGTGCCGGGAATCGCCGCCGGAGAGGACAAACCAGAGGCTGAGCTCAGGCACGTACTCGGCCTTGCCATGGAAGGGCAGCGTCCATTTTCCAACTTGGCTCCACGTGTGGTCTGCTGTGTCCAGGCAATAGGTGCCAACACCATGAACGGATATGCAAACATGTGATCCGCCACCGACGACGCCATAGGCTGTGATCTCGGGGGTGTTGTTGTACCAGCTCCATGTCTCGTACAGATGGCGGCGGCGGAAGGAGGCGGCAGGTGAAGCATTTGTGGCCCCAGGGCCCGCTCGGATAATTGGTGATGAAGCCCACGAACTGCTCGCTCTCCTGCACTTCATTGGAGATGGGCTCTAGCTGGGTAACCCTCTCCATGAGGAAGAGGCTGCTACCGTTGTCATGGCAAAATCTGTCGTCGACGACGTGGGGCTTGTGAGCGAAGACGGAGACGGGCTTCACCGTCGGCAGCTTGGGGAGCGGGGGCATGGTTCCCACCTTGCGTGTGTCCAGGTCGAAGATGAAGCCGAGCCCCGACTGATCATCCCCGCAGATGACCTTGGAGTCCGCGAACGCGAAGCAGTTCAGGTTCCATCCGTTGTTTAGACCACGCAAGGTGAAGCTTGGACGAGGAAGCCGAAGCGTCTCCATCTCCGTCGTCTTTGATGGTGGTGGTGGGGGTGGTGTGTCACGGTAAAACAGCTGCGCCAGGTTGATGCGGCGCACCGATTTGACGCCGGGGGAGCAGCCGGCCACGATCAGATTCAGAAACCGCCGGCCCAAGACGCCGCCCATGGCCGACGACGATCCCAACTTCGAGTTCAAGCTGCCCCTGCTGATGAACTGCGATGAACTCGATCAACCCGCTAGATTCGATCCCCAATTCGTTTACTCGTCCTTCCGATTCCTGTAGTGGTGCCTTCAAATTAAAGCCGATATCGAGATGCGTGACATGCATCACAAAATCCTAACAAATAACAGGATGTTGGGATGCAATTGTATCGCTGCGACTACAAGCGACCGACCTGAGGGGACAGGGGAGGGAAAGGGCCAAAGGGGTAGCGCGCTGGCGGTGGCGGCGGCTGCGGCGGCCGGCGGGGGGAGGGCGCCAAGCTTCCAGTCTGCCCCCAGTCTGGCACTCCACACTGTGCGCGTCTCCTCTCGCCTTCTTTCCCCTGGTCGTTTGGTCGTAAACGATCGTAAATTTACAGACAGAACAGTATTTTTCTCTTACACCAAACCAGTCAGCAGTAATAATCCACGATCGTATACAATCGTTTTAGCCCCAGCCGAACAGGCTGAGTATTTTCAGCCATGACTTTTTAGCAAAGCGAACAGGGCCAATGTGAAGTGGCCCTTGGCCCATTTTCAGTTTTATTATGTTTTCTTTTGGCCTTCATATTACTTGAGTTTGGGCTGACCTAGATTTGGCCTAAACTTTAGGTAACCTTTGGATGGGGACGAGGATTGGGGTAGGGATATGAGATATTGTATCCTAGCCATCCGTTCTTACGTCTCATTGAATCCTAGTCATTCATTCATTTTCCTTTCCCTATCCTAACCCCTATATCTTTAGTGTTGTTGAAGTGAAGTTTACTCCTAAAAGTTCTTCCATCAGTTTTCATGTTATGTTTTATGTGTACATTTTTTTCTCCATGTTTGTTCCATGTGAATAGTTTTTTTCTCCTCTTACAAAAGTTTTTTTAGAACATTTTAAAGAAGAGAAATGTCTATGATGTCCATCAACCAATGATCAAGAGAAAAAGGCACAATTAACGCATACCCCTCAATCAAGCACCAAAATTAAACATATTCTCTCTACCTAGAATACAGTGCGATTATGGTTTCTAAAATTTACACTAAAGATACATTCTATGTGGTGCACATGCTTAGATTTAGCAAATTTTGTTAAAAAGGAAATAACAAATCAAGAAAAACTGTCTAATTGGGTTAAAACCTTGCATACAAACGTCATTTGAGTATTTTCTTAAACTGTCTCAAATTTTTGAAATGTGTTATACTATACGACGGAGGGAGTATACACTTAATTAATGGATGCATGTTCAATAAACCGTGCCCCCTTGAAGGCCTTGGGCCTGTTTGATCCTGGCTACTAAATTTGCACCATGTTTGGATGACAATTAGAAGGACCGAACGCGAACTAATTTCAAAACCAATTGCATAAACGGTGGTTAATCGGTGAGACGAATCTACTAATCTTAATTAGTCTATGATTAGCACATATTTAATGTAGCACCATAGTATGAGTTAATCATGGACTAGTTAGAACTAATAGAATCGTCACTTCAATTAGTTACCGTTTTTGCAATTAGGCCCTGTTTGGATCCCATTACAAAACTTTAGTCC